TAAGAGTCTATCATTGGTAAATTGAGGGCCGACAAAGATGATTTTCCACTCTAAAAATGTCGAATTTAATTAAAAAAGCCCAGTCGAACTTAAATAAATCTAACATGGCGGACCAGCACAACACGAAACGTCATTTTGCGATCTTTCAGCCTGAGTTACATAGAAACAGATTTATTTTCGGCGTGCACTACTAGTATTATTTCTCGAAGAAAAAAAATCGAGGCCTTTTTCTCGAAGAAAAAAAATCGAGGCCTTTTTATTCGCAAGTCCCGATGTTATGGTTCCCAGCGATCTTGCAGTGATGTCTCAGTGAAACAGGCCTATCACCAAGGTGAACAGTTCGATATCATTTGGGAGTCTTATTCCGGCATTGGACAAGATTTTTAGTTTCAAAGGTCAGCTTTGAGCTATCTTATCTTATATCATGCAGGAATTTGAAATACAAATGTTGTAACTGAAACCCCATCTCCCCCAGCTCCGTCTAGCAATCTGCTCCCTGCGTTTCGAAATATTTCCATTTTAGTAGCCGTATTTGCTGATGCGTCTGTTTGTCAATGATTTTTCTCATCTCTACTACACGTTGTGAATATGCGCATTGCTAATTATCAATGAAGTTTAGGGCCAACTTCGAATAGCAATTGTATTTGATTCGGTAGTAGTACGATGTTTGAAACCACGCCGGGCTTCTGCCGTAGTAAAATCCTCTGCCGTGCCGAAGTCAATTTGCCGAGCCAAATTGGTTATAAAACGTCGGGCTTATGCCGTGCCAAATACCAAAAAAAAATCAAGTTGAATTGTATTCAACATGGCATAAGCACGACGTTTGAAACGGGCCTAAAGCTGCAGTTACAAAGGTCATTCAATAATGGCGTAATGGCGGAGCACACACAACCAACATGCATCCAAGCACTCCGTGGCTGTACGTGCACTTATCAAGGCATGTCATGACGGACGCTGCGGCAATACGGGCAATTCACAATTGTGCGCCTCCAAGAGTTTACAACGCGTTGGCCAATCTCAATGCGTGAAATTTGTAGACCCAACTCGCGTTTGGAAAGGGTCGACAGATTCTGCGCGACGTGATTGGCCAACATGTTGCAAACTCTTGGAGGTGCACGACGTTGAATCACCCGTATTATTTTTATATGAATGGTTTCCTTTGAAATGATAAGTGAAATTGGGTATTGGTAACCAGCGGTGCGACCATACCCTGGTGCGTAGTCCCAAATGGTTGACTAAATAACTATAGTAGTCACTCGCACTTGCTCCATGTTAGTCAGGAGTGTTCATTTTGCTGGAAGCGACGCGCCCGTAACGCGCGCATTTCATATTTTGTCACCCAGTGAAGTGCAGTTCCGACCAAAGGGGCTGCCGTTGCTAGTGAAATTGTGCCCTCCCTTGGTACAGATCGGGGCTCATGGAAAGTAAGACTTTGTCCGAATTACTTGGCCGTGGATGGAAATTCCGCACGAGTCTATGTAGAGTCGTGTGGAATCTCAATCCGGAACCAAGTAATTAAGACACGTCTAATCCTGTGTTCGTAAGTTATGGCTGCAGCAATTCTTAACGCATGCGCACAAAGACGTCCCAACATGCGGCCTGTTTCCACGGCATCACTAGCAGAGCTAGAGGCGTTCAGCTGTGCCGGACATCATTATAATTGTAGGAAACCTAGAAATGAAAATGCCCTAGGTTGAAAAATATCTTGAATGCGTGCTCTTGGGTGTGGTAATCGGGCAACAAAGAAATAATTTGACAACAAAGGGCAAATGAACTTAGTTGCGAGCAGGGCACATTCACATGATATCTAGTACATGTATTCCAAAACGGTATTAGGCCTATTTGAAGAGTTATCCTAACGGAAGTGACGTCAGCAACTGCAAGAAGAAAAGTAGAGAAAAACGAGGTACCGGTAACTACTTAAAGAAAGTCGACACACTTGGTGAAATAATGATAAGCTTGTGAAAGGACAAACTATTTATTACATAAAATAGTCTCATTTTACAAATACACGTGCAAGCCATAGACGAGATCAATGCGCTTTAAAATATAACAACTCATTTTTAAGAATGCAGTTAATACCAGTATTATTAATTAATAAAATATGAACGATACTGCTCCTCCAGTCGGATTTACTACATTAAAAATTAAATGTTTTAAGTAATGAGCTGTTCTTTCGTACTGAAACGCGCTCATGATTATTCGTGTTAGTAGATGGCATGCGCCTTTTCCACAGACGCAAGGTCAGTGTGCATGGTGATCTTATGTGTAAGATAAATCACGTGCATGCAGGAATAAAACTGGGTAAATGGATACGTCTAGAAAATAGATCAAAACGCATAAGAAAAGACGCCGTATTTGCAAAAGCCATTCACGTCAGTCCCAGAACGATACCCATTTTGCTTTTCCCTGTTTAGTTCAAGCATAGCATTATACTGTAATACCCAAACCATTAAAAAAAATGAAATGCCACGCCGATGTTGCGTAAGACGCTCCGTTATATCTTATAATCTGGAGCTGTGATGTTTCTCTGTTACCGAACGAGAGCGAGAGCTACTCGTTAAACGGAAGATGACCAGTATGTGAAGAGATGAACACGTTTGAGATAATTCCGTATGCGCAGTCAACCTTACCGTCATAGTGGAAATTACATTATAAACTTTGGTGAGATTATAGGTTCCATTATGATTATAAACAAGATAAGACTACACATCGTCCATTACAGAAGCTATAACCTCGCAATTCAATTATACACCCTAAACAGAAAAAGCCCTTAAAATTAATTCTATTATAATGGTTAATTTTGTAACAGCAATTAAGAGGAATATACATGTAGTTATTTACAATAGGTGTGTTCGAAGGGTAGTGCGTCATTCTTGTTACATGAATTGAAACATCTATTTATTTGAGGTTGTGCTCAGCAATGCATGTTAACAAATATCTCTGGTAAAACCATAGCTATCCGCTTAAAACGCGAATTTAGACAAGACGAATAGTCCGCAGTCTTAACAAAGCTATGATTACAAGACTACATATCAGCATATATCAGCTGTAATAAACAGGCTCTCATAAAATCCCACGACATCCCCCCATCGCCACCACCTTTACTTTTATTTCCCCTTCATGGCCCCATTTGTAATAACAAACCTCATCAGAATCTGATGAAATAGAACTTCTCGTTTGCTCCACACCTCATGTGCGTATAGCTTTTATATCGTGATTTAAACCCGTCAAAATGCCAGGATTTAATCTGCGCTCTTGGTCAAATAAACGTTTCCTCGCTCAGAATAAACAATGATCGCATGGATAAGATCGTCATCTATACGTATCGAATTGCTGCTGTAAAAGTCGACCCGATGATTTCAAAGAATGTCATTTGTTTCTCAGCCCTGAAGTGGAGTATGCATGCATGGTCGAGTGGCGCCCGCCCGATTAGGCCATGAAAATACCATGTCATCGGCAGGGAATCGATTTTACTAGACGTTGTAGCAGACGCACCTGCTGTCTGAATACAACACGGAGACCGCGTGAAATGATTCCTTCAAACCTGCATTTAGATAATTATTACAGGAGGATTCCACGCTGTGCATCGGCAGACATTTTCCCCCTGCTTCCACCCCAAACGTCCACCTGTCCAACACGGGCCAAGTTTGCGGTAGGTTAACTTATATGAGATCATATGCAGATCAGCTTATCATGAGATTCTGATTCGAGACTAGCTGACTCAAACAAGATGAGCTTAAATTATGTCAGGTCAATTCAGATCATGCCCAAATCAAATCAAGTAAAATTGATTCAAACTAATTCACAAGAAATCGTAAAATAAAATGAGGTTTCATCTATTAAATGTGGTGTACACCATTGGCTTTTGTCGTAATTTCACAAGATTGGATGATTACAGTGGGTAATATTCACTGCAACTTACATTCCACTCACTTGTTTCATGATTGAGTCAACTGCTTTGTGAAAAAAACGAGAAAAACAGCGCGGCATTTTCAACTTTTAAATTGAAGGTCTGTAGGCCTAGTTTATCTTGCGTAAAACCTATGGATTTTAGGGCGTTCGTAGAACATCGTCCGCGGGGTCAGGGTTGGAAACAAGCATAACAGGCTCATTCCCTTAATAAAGGAGCAGTTTTCAACGGCTATGAGTAATCAGTTAATTAACATTGGAGTAATGTGCCTCCTCGACAATGTAGCATTGCGGATTCATGGAAAAACTTCATCCAGGAACACAGCAGTCGACTCGTGTCCGTAAAATAGGCCTATGATTATGCACGTGCGCATGCACGATCATGTTTATAACGCCACTTCCATGTCAGGTCAGTTCACACATCGATGAAAGTCTAGAACACCTTTCATAGTAGAGTCATTAATAAGTAAAAAGAATTATGTCTTAAAGCATGGGAGGATTAACGTGTGAAAATCGTACTTTTTGTTGACGAAATTCATCGTGCTCGCGGAAACAGCCGCCATATTGGATCATTCCATTATTAACTAGGGATGATTTTGAATTCGCAAAGTTTTCCGTTAAAAAACCCTTTCCTTGGATAAAATTCAACTTCACACGGATCCAAATTATAATTTCAGTTCACAGTGTTTTTGGTGAAAGAATTGTCAGTATGTTTTTTAGCTGGTTTTAAGTTTACCCGTTCATTAATGGAGACTCCCACAACATTTGCAAACACTACAAAATAAAATTGGCCCCTGTTAAAAGATGTAATGTGCGAAGTGAAATTAACTCTTTTACCATGCTCGGCCGACCATCGTGATAAAAGAGAACAAAATCTTTGTTTTTAAAAAAAAAAACTACAGCATTCTGGGTGGAAATATTTGACAGACTGACTGAGACTGTTATGTACTTTCTTTCTAGTAAGATATTTCAGGATTATACGCACGGACATGTATAATAAAATCTGGACTCGCAATGCCTTTAATCAGCTTATAGAGTCATTGNTGGCTTCTTTTTCATACAAAGGCGTTGCAGGTCCAGGTTTTTTTTATATACGTCCGTGATTATACGGTCGTCCGATTTTCGGGATTTTACCAGTGGTGTACACCACCTTTAAGACTGGACCGGTCCGTTCGAAGCGGATTTAATAAATAAAAAAATAATAGGGCTTAAAGTTACATATAATCAATTCTAAACAGATACAATCACACCAGGTGCCTGTTCTGTGACTTCCGCTAGGTCTCAACGGCCACTTGATCCACCTGACCTCTCTTGTGTCGGCAGGGCACGATCGTTCTCCTCCAAGCCGCCGACAGAAAGTCAACGGCGGCCGCACGGAAGTGGGCGTTTCTCATGGAGTAGACAAAGGGGTTGCAGGCTGGGATGACAAACACAAGGGCTACGGCCACAGTCAGGTAGATAGGTGAGGAGTCGTCGTGCCGGAGACTGCCAAAGCTCACCACCAGGCTGAGGACTGTGATCGGGGTCCAGCACAGCACGAAGATGCCGAGGAGAATGAGCAAAGTAATCGCAGTGCGGAGATCGGCATGGCGGCGGGGTCTGTGAGAAAGACGATGCACAAAGATAGACGACGTATTGTCAGAGTTTTATCAAGCCACAGTCGGTTAAAGGAGGGAACGAGGGAGATTTCCCCCTTTCAATATTTGCATTCTCATCCAAAGAAGAAGCTGTCTGTCGGGCCTCTGTTTCGCTTGTCACTTATTTTTTCATTGGCCGACCTATTTTTTTTTCAGCCGATCAAATCAATTCTACATCTGAAATATGCCCCTGGACTTTTACGCACGATACGTTTATCTATTCACCCCCCCCTTTATAACTCGAGTCATTCTTAGCAACTACTACCTACAACATCACGAGCTCTCTACACCGGTGAAAAATTAACAGCAACGTCACAAGGGGAATACAAGCAATAGGAAATTGTCAATTTAATCATCTGACACTTTAAATTTACACAGAGCAGCAAAGACTTCAGAATAAGTTGCTAAAAATTGACATTAACAGGCAACCACAGAAATTTATCAGTCAACCGCTGTACCAATTAAGGAGTTCCAACTGAAGGTAACTTTTTTTGAAACGACAGCCCAGAATAAATTACCTCAGTGGACCAAATAATTGTTCATCTAGTTCAATCGTCGCAAAGGTGGAACAATAAACATCTGGAATGTTCTCATTAAAAAAATGAGAATCTATAAATCACAAGTGAATGCGGAATGCCCAGAACATGGTATTCGATGGCAAATAAGAAAATTGTATGCAGCTGCTCTCTTTGCTTGATGAAAACCACGGACTTTGTGGTTTGCGTTGGCCGTCCATCCGATATGTTTTATATCGGGCGGTTGCTATGGCGACAAAATGGAAGCGGTCTTCGCGTGCGGGCCTTAAAGGACTACACAATAATCTCATGGCGTGAACAGCAAATAATCCGTAGAGATAACTGCCATAGCATTAACCTGAATTTGGTTTTCAAAGCTCACACTGAAGTGTATTCATTTTTTTTAATGTATTTTAAACAGTCGCGTAAATTTGTGCCGAAAATTCGAGGGGGGTGGGGGATGGGAAAGAGAGTATGGCTTTCCCAGCCATGCCATTAAAATTTGGAAAGCGGGGGTGGGGGGTGATGACACCATTCTGACTCTATATAGAGGTTGATGTTCATGATATTAATGCACGTCTGTAATATGTATTACACTCGTATAGAATCTTACATCATAATGCCATATTCATGGCTTTTAAAAAATGATTTTCCCTTTTTTGAGTGGTATTGAATTCATTTTAGTCGTTGGGAAGTCTGAAAAATTCACAATCGGCTTTAATTTTTGGCTCATCACAGAAAGTGGGGGATATATCCCCATCCCCTGGGATTAACGCCATGATTTAAAAAGCACATTATCTTAACATACATTCGCCTTTTGACTGAGCGATTCTTTTAGGCATTTTTGAGACAGTGAAGAAACAAAGATGACCCCAAAACCAATTTTTCAATTTTTGTCACTTTAGACATAATTATTTACAAAGAAAGAAAGAAACAAATAAATGCTAAATGATTCGGACATCGATCAGTCTCGGATGTGAAATTTACATGAAGCCTGAAACAAATTTCTAAATTTATATAAGAGAGAGTAAAAAAAGAGAAAGATCAAGGTGAAAAAAAATACAAATGAAGAATTAAATAATAAATCTATTTTGCCTGCATATAGAAAATTTGTATAGTCTACGGAAGATTAAATGACCATCCATGTTACTTGGTTACTGAGTTAATTTATCGTCGACACAAAGAAATATACATTGGATAACACTGCTTAGATAAATTATCCCCAACACACAGGTTCAACGATAACGCTTTGTGGGAAAATCGGTTAAAATTCAGAAATAACGTATTTCGAAAACATGGAGTTCAACAATAATGTGTATCTCGGAAATCATCCTAAAATCAATTATAATGTATCGCGGAATCTATCTCGAAAACCCAGAATTAACATTTTGTGCAATCACATGGCGCGTAGCCTTTGCAGTATATAGTATGTACGGACCTCTGGAAGTGCCATCCGACTTATTGAGATCCTATTTTTTTTCTCGGGACGACGACGTTATACAGGCAAAACGTCGACATCCTTAGATATTTATCATAGGATGACGTCATCAGTCGTAAAAGTGGAATAATAACATTATCTGTCGATGGGTGCATTGACAAACCAAACGCACGGGTGGCCTGAGGTGCCACTGTTTTTAAGCATTTGCCTCCTATTGCTATAAGCTACCACTTGATAAGCCTTTTGCGAGTTAAATTTGAATAAAATCTGGTACACTGAGTTATCTGATTGCACATAAACATAACAATTTGAATTTCCCAGACTAAAGACACTGTTACTAGTCGTGATTCGTGGCAAGCTTTTGCATACCGAGCACCATCTCTGGAAAGGACTGGTTCCTTTGTGCCCTTCTTATCCATTGAAAACAGTGTATTAGTGCAAGGCGTCTCTTATGTAACTAAGCAAAACGTTAACCTGAATCACGCATAGCAACAGGTGTAGCAATATCATGTATGGCAACACGAGGACAATGATGGGAAAAACAGTGGCACCTCAGGCCACCTGTGTGTTTTCAAGATGGTTTGTCAATGCACCCATTGACAAATAATGTTATTATTCCACTTTTACGATATCTAAGGATGTCGATATTTTACCTGTATAATGTCGTCATCCCGAGAAAAAATGTCAGGATCTCAATAAGTCGGATGGCACTTCCAGACGTCCGTACATACTATACCCTGTAAAGGCTACGCAAAACGCGAGTGCACAAAATGTGAAAGATTCTGAGATGCACTATCATTGAATTTGGTGTATTGGAGATACATTACCAGTGACTTCCGTATTTCGAAGATACATTATCGTTGAATTTTGTGTTTCAGAGATACACTGTCATTGAAATCCGTGTTTCGAATTTTGTGTTTCCGAGATGCGCTATCATCGATTTCGGGTTTTCCGAGATATATTATCTTTGACATCTATATTTAGGATATACATTATCATTGAAATCGGTGTTTCCAAAAACCGTTACCATTGAATTCCGTGTTTCAGGGATTATTTATCTTTGAAATCAGTGTTATCCAGTGTATTTTTCTGTGTTTCAACGATAAATTAACTCAGTAACCAGTGACATCAGTGGCCATGGAAGCGTCCGTTCTCTCGGGATCGATACGGGTATACCTCGTATAGAAAGAGAGAGGGGAGTTGAGAAAGGACACAGCAATTATTTGCAAAAGCTACATATCAAATGAATTCGTCCTATCCCTGTAAGAAAAATTACAACTTTCTGACAAATTTTTTCCCATAAATCTAACAGAAAAGTGCACTTCCATTGCAAATTGTCCGTACTTATCGTAAAAAAGTAAGGGTGCCGTTGCGGTGATGTGTTTCATTGAAAAAGTGTTTCTTCTAGGGGCTTTCAGTTTAATCTGTGGACCCAAAATGTCCTTATTGAAACTATATTTAGAGAACACCTTACCCACTGGTCCACTGCCATTAACCGAAATATGAGCGTTTCACCAAAGAAAATAAACGAGACAGCAAAATATCGAAAATCTGGCAAATATTGACGTCGAAATCACTGTAACACTGAGGTTTCTTCCTGGACTGGCATCACACTTTTGGTTATGAATATGCATTTGCATCAGCAAAAACAAACTCCAGAAGCAACTCAAATGTCCTCAAACTGGCAACATGAAAATTGTATACGGTGTTAAATGAGACCTGATGGGTATTTACATGTGCTGCGCATATTGTATGTGCCCTTTAAAAAATTATTTTTTGGGCGATTAAAGTTACGGAGATGTTTCACTTTATATTCTCAGCAAATGATCACAATATAATCAAAATGTGATTCGAAGGTTGTAACTGTCTTCACGTTTTAAAACGAACGACCAGCCTTCATTTTTCTACACTTCACATTTAAACTTAATTTGTGGTCAATATCTGACAATTCTAATAACTATTTAATCTAAGGACAAAGTCGAAGTCATAGTAAATGCGGTGTAGATATTATCTTCTTGTTGCTGTTTCACGATTTGTTATTGAATGCATAAAACTGCGATGTATTTTTAGCATCTAACAGAAAAGGCTAAAACATCTTCCCGGGTTGCTTTTTCTGAGTTTGATGTATCGAGGTTCTTCAAATCTTCAGCGGTGAGAAACTAGGTTTCTCTCCCACCAAAATAAACCTGCTCTTCAATTTCCTACGGGATCAGGCTCGCTCGGTGATAGGAGCGTTCTCGATCGTGTGAGCGTGGCTTGGGGGCGAGACATGAAGTAATTGATATCAGTGATTTCATTACGAGCAGTCGAGTGAAAAAAATCTGACAGGCACATCTTAGACCATCGAAACACCGCGGGTTTGCTACACGGAAGGCCCCGATTTTTTTTATTTGGATGGAGTTATCAAACACTGAAAAAACCCAATATTTTCAAATGCATGGGCATAATTCTAAAACAGTAAAAAAAATGTATATCACAGATATACATGTATATAAGGCAATCAATATTAAATATACGAGACACACATGAAACATAAGAATTGCACATGGAGCAACACGTAAATGCACAATAATTAAACAAAATACAACAAACGAATCGTGGATAATCTCGTCTCATTTCACATGTCAGTGAATCGTTCCGATACACGTCACGGCCGCCGGCAAATGGACGTTCCACCCCACGAGTATTTGAATTTCCATTTCACGGTAAATAGAAGCCAGTGAACAGCCTAGGAGAATACTGTAACGTATGGAATCTGAGTGCTGTCCAGCCTTACAACGGTCCGTGTATGGTGAGATTACCAAGGAAATGTAGAAATTTATACCATACAAGTGATTAACTGTGCATGTACTGAGAGGGATAACTCGATCGTGTATGGAGCTTAGATTATAAGCCCGACTGTGTTGGAACGAATGGCAACAGCTCTGAAGTCTTTACACCCAATTGGTTCTACGTGCTGTATGTCTTATACCCCTTTAATTCGAAGAAAGTACATTCCATGTACGTGCATTAGGTTCTGAAAATGATTTTAAGCATATTCCCATTCCGTCTGTGGAGATAAAGTTGTTCACAATGACTTCCATGTACTTCCGTTAATTATATTTCACTGCAAATGGGACGTAAGACCAACAAGGCGTAGGACCAGTGGGACGTAGGACCAATAGACCAATGGTAGGACATTTAGGACGTAGGACCAATAGACCAATGGTAGGACATTTTGGACGTGGGACCAATAGACCAATGGTAGGACCATTTAGGACGTGGGACCAATAGACCAATGGTAGGACCAGTGGGACGTGGGACCAATAGACCAATGGTAGGACCAGTGGGACGTAGGACCAATAGACCAATGGTAGGACCATTTAGGACGTGGGACCAACGGGACGTATAGAACCAAAAATGGGACGTGAGACCAAAGAAATGTCCCAAATTGAATAGGCCTAAGAGGTCAGCTCTAGATTGAAAGGAATAGGAAAGACAAAGAAACAATCCGCCTCCAAACAGAAATATCAGCATATTTCACCAATCTCTGTAATTGTATTGATTTTTTACTTCCCCTTGAATTAAGCCGCCGAACGGACAGCCTGAGAAAACACACCTCCCGTTTGGAGGATTTTTCCTTCTTCTGGCGTGATGCATGTAATTTCGTAACTTTCCTTCTTCGGTTAACTTGTTGGGTATCATTCTGCTTGAAGTGAATTCATTAATCCCCAAGATAGAAAAGGCATTATGGTAGCGTCACAGCACCATATTCTCAACTTTACATAAAGCTGTAAAATGTATATTTACATCTTACTACCAAACCCAAAACAAGTAACAAATTTGAAAGAAAAAGTTGAAATGATATCACAAAAAATGGACAAAATTGACAATACTTTCTAGTACCCTATACAGTTGGAGGCCAAGCTTTGATTCGGTAGATGCCAAAATTTAAGACAGGAATTTTACTGAAATCTATTTTTTCTCAATGTATTCCTGGCGTTCAAGCTGTGAATACTATGTTCCTAAAATTGACAATTTCAGGCGCAGCGTCCTCTCAGCGTGTAGAGCTTCTTGGAAAATTGAAGCTCAAATAATAAGCCTACACTCTGGAGGTCTTTGCAATTATAACGGAAGACAGCTTGTCCAACTGACAAGAGAGCCTTGTCAGATTACCCGAAAATAGTGGGAGATCCACGAGTTATTTATTGACGTTCATGTTTCTTCTATGGCTTTTATTCTTTTTAGTTTGTTTGGTTAGATCTGCAGACCAGTGCCATCTTAATTTCTTCCTTAAAAATTCACTTTTTAAATGCACCCTGTCGAATTCTGTGTTTTGTTAACATCGGTGTTATTTCGGATAGGTTTTGCTCGTTTCTGCTGAAGCATATTAGTGATCCATTTCTGCTTCAACATGTTCAGCAAGCATCCTCTAACTGTCAAACTCACTTCCTCAACCTACTGGATTAAAAAGATCTGCTCAACCCTCCACTGCAGGAGACCACATAACCATGGCAACGGGCATCTGTCAGACAACTCATGAGGTACAGCAACAGGACACGCTCGAAATCACTCCCCGTGTCCAGTATTGTGGTGTCAATTACGAAACACGAGCTAATATAAAACATTATGAGAACGTATTATTTCAACGATTTTTCGAATCGACTGCTCTCTAAAATTCAAAATATGAATTTTACAAAATGCCTAGCTTCACGACTGAATAGTCATGTTTAACACGGGATCGGACGAAGGGGCATAGAGTGTTTTTATCTTGTTTGAATATTTTTTTTGCTCCAATAAAAATTGGAGGGGGTACGTATGTGTAGTAAAATTGCTATAAATTCCAAACTGCAATCAAATTTAACATTTTCAATCACACTAAATTACAGCTAGCGGTTTACTGGAAATTTAGCTTTAACAAAAGTGGAAAAGCAGAAGCATGCCATTGGTCACAACAACCCACTTTGTGTAGATGTCAATTAAGTCATGGAAATTTTTGTTGTGGCTGATAAGGACTGTCTTATATATTATCTCCCACACAAGGAAGTCAAGAAGGAAGTACCAAATACTGAATGGTCTGACAAAAAAATTAGTGAAGCCAATCAAGACTGCATGAGAAAAAAATCAAAATGTAAATTTGGCGGTAAAGAGGGGTTCTTTTAATACGCAATGAGTTTTAGTTACAAACTTAATAAAATCTCTGAAAAACAGAAAGAAAACATAACTGATGTTAAGAAAACCGTTCCCATATAAACAACCTTGACTGAGGAGACAACACGATTAATTGTCGAGTCCTGTACTGCGATCTGACATTTGGTTTAGGCTCTGAAAACGATTTATTAACAACGTGCGTGCTTTTAAAATCTAGTACAATTATGTCGTCGACACGTCCGAGACGTAGCAAGTGACACTTTCATTGAAAGGCGATTTGGCCAAAAAGCTAAGAGCACAGTGGTCGTATCATTCGCTTGGGGTTTAAGGGACACGGCAGATTTCACAAGCATGGTGCCCAATTTCGAGGGAAAAAATCGTATCGTGGGCGACGTCAAAACTGCAAAAAAATTAATTAAAATGCAGAGGTCTGCTATTGGGGTCTCTTATAGGTCTGATCTAACCAGCCTCATGCAATTTATATCTCTGTATATTTCTGCTAAGGTTTGCAGTTTATGTACATGTATAAGATGACATTTTCTCCTCTTTATGTCTTATTATTCAGTGACAGCTGTCCTCAATTGTGCATAAAATTACAGACCTACAGAACAGGGTAATCTTACATCTTTCTTTTTATCGCCTTGGTGAGACCTGAGAAAAGACATTGGTCTCCTAAAAATGTGTATTGACTTGTATAATAATCCACAAGAAGCAATTTACAAAAATGGAAAATTTTGAATACCTTGATTCGCTATTTAACATCAATCTACATGCTATATCTTAAGCTTCGAAAACCACTTTGCTCTTCACGGGGACATTTTTGATCGTCAAACCCCGAAGGGAATTACCGGTACAGTTTCACATCTTCCTTTCACATGCCTTTAAATTCTACAGTAAGTCCAAGCCAAGTTTCGAATTTAATAAAGATTATTCTTTCGAAATTTTGCTCGCGTAATTATAGATTGTTTAGACTGAACTTAAGGAGGAACGTGTTGAAACTCGTGACGAACCACGTGAATAAATCCACAATACGCACAAAAGGTGAGCGCCACTTTAACATCCATTCATGTAATATTTCCCAAAATGCTTTCTCCCCTTGCGGTGTGTGAGTGACAAATTGGAGACAGTGTCTGTCTGTTTCAGCTTTTACTGACAGTACTCGGCGGCCGGCGCAGTAATTAAATCAGCAGAGTGTCCGCAGTCGCGTGTGTCGATTTGGTATCATGTTGCAGTCAAATGTCTTCTCCTGTTGCGTGATACACTTCGACAACGCCGTACAAGGGTTCAGAATGATGCACAGAGAAACGGACAGCGATACCAATAAGAGGGATTCTTGAGTAGCAATGATTCTTATGCATCATTCAGAGACGCAGTTGATTGTGTGATGCCGTAAAATAATAAACTTTTTACATTTTGGAAGGTGCACCTGCTCCCTAGGCCCCCACCAGCCGACACACGTAACCTTTTCCTTTGATAATCCTTTGAATCCAAACAAAACGGCGTCGAAAGCGAAAGCAATAAACCTAATCACCAGCGCCAGTATGTTGCAGATGCGACTGGAAATAACACGTGCACCAAAGGGAAGGCATTAGCTGCATGGCACCTGCTGCCAGGTCCAATTATTCGGTGTATAATCCCGGCTGCGGGCAGATGATTCAGACAAAGTTGTAGTCTATGTGTATTCGAGTATTATTTGAATTACTCATGAGACTTGTTCTGTAGTCATTCCCACGACCATATGCAGCAAGGTATGAGACGGAG